TTGAACATCACCAGTAGTGAACAATCACTGAGAGACTCACTTCTCACTTCCTTCGTCCTTGCTCTCTGGAATGAGGGGAGGGAAGGGAGTCCCCATGTGGCATATGTACCTCCGCCCACTCCTAGGTTCAGATGGTGAGTCCAATGTACCCAACTCTTGCAAACGTGGGTGAGGTGATGAGATATGCTTTTGATTTGGAGATGTCGCCTTCACCACTTTTGAGGGAAAATCTGCATTTTTCTGCATATCTATTGTGCCTTCCTCAAATAATTGAGATGACCCAATATTGGTCCTTGGCTTATCAACACAAGGCACTGGAGTATCAGGAGAACTGACACCCTGACATAAACCCTGTGTTAAGTACCCATCACAATGCCTTAATTGGGTGCCACTACTTCTTTTGATATTATCACTAGAACCAGCACTACTAGAGAACTGTGAGGAAAGGTAAGTCAATGGAGTTGGGGTTCTCATGTCTATAACTTTGTCACCATTAGGAGAGACCCATGGCCCTCCATGAAAAAATGGATGGTCGAATATTTCATGATCTTGTGAAGAGAGGTGCCTTCTTGCAAGGTATTGGGAATTAGGGAGTGCCCTCCCATGGCTGCATTCACAGGAAAACCATCATGCAATAAGAGAATTGCCACATTCTAAGCGGGGAAAGCATAAATAACCCAATGGATTATCACCATTAGATGAAATGATGGACAGTGATAGTTAGCGAAGTACGGATCACCATGTTCATCGTATCCCACTCTGATCTTCATCAATATCCTATATTGCACTGGATGTTGATAACCCCAAGGGATGATGTTTTTCTAGAGTGCATTGGCCTTTTTTCGTTGTTTGAACTAGATAGTACATTGCATATTTGCATTATACAATGCTTTCATCTTTTACAACCTTATCTACAAGATACATCACAGCAGCCTCATATACAAAGCCCGTACCACACGCAACATGATGCTACGTACTGTCTTGAAATTTGTTTAATGAAACTTTCTTTACCATATTTGTTTAATGAACATTTTTACCATGAAACTTAGAGAATTTCTTTTACTTTACCTCGAATATTGAGAAAATGGTGTTGAAGTGGAAACATTCGGATGTAGCTGATGGGCATTTCTGTATTCAACCATCTCTGGCTTTTCTTCTAGTGGTTCCTTGAAACCACCATTTTTATCCTCTATGTCCACTTCAACGAATCCTGCTAACAAGTTTATTCTTATATAGTTAGTACATTTTAAATGAAGGCCATCATGAAGAACATTAACGGTGAAAAAAAGTTGAAACATTAAAAATAGAAAATGACCAGCCAAGAATATATAACTAACTTAAACACACTTCAAAATTACATTCAGAAGGCTCTTATCATGAGTAACATGTCACTGCCAAGAAAAGGTATACAAAATCAACCAGTTTTCAAAAACACAGTCGGGCAAGGTACTCGGCCCCTGCCAGAGTGGGTGACTCGTCCGAGTCAACACCCGAGACGAAGAAAGGGCCCAAAAAGGCCCCAAACAATAGGGAAAAATGCCAAAAAAAGCCCCTAAAATTTAGTAAAATCTAAAAAGAAAACAAAATACAAAATTAAAAACTTTATAAACCATGATATATAAAAAGTTTGATGTTATTGGCTTGAAAAACAATAAAAAACATCCATATCAAATGCGAAAAATGTAAAAATCAGAAATTAAGAAGTACAAAACTAACTATAAACCAATCATATTTGATTTAGTAAAAAAACCAAGGGAAAGTATTGATAATGTCCCTTAAATTTTCTATAATTAAATACATAACTTCTTTTCCTTTCAAATGTATGCTGACATCTATCTTTTCTCCATTTTTTTTATCCCCAATCTGACCCTCAGGACCTAATAGGTCCGCAAAGCCTTTACGGACCTATTAGACTTGTGCAGGTCTTAACTCCCACACTCGCTTAGGGCCTTTACGGCCCAATAAGGTCCATAAGGACCTTGACAGAGTTATTAGGTCCACAAAGGCCCTAAGCCTTGAGGTTTTACAAGTAAAAGCCCGAAGTGTAGTGGGCACTTGCTTGGGGCCTTAAAGGGCATATTAGGTCTGCAAATTCCTTTAAGGGCCTATTAGGTCCACAAAAGAGAAAGCTTTTGTCCCAAATCCCACCCCTAACCAGAATCCTCAAGTTTGCTCTGACCATTATTTTCACTCCCACATAACCCCTTGTGTACATTTAAAGGGGAAACTCAATGAGCTCAAGATGATTTTATCCCTCGTGTCAGAGTGAGCTCAAGATGATTTTATCCCTCGTGTCAGAGTGAGCTCAAGATGATTTTATCCCTCGTGTCAGAGTCAGTCCTTCCTCTCTCCCTCTCTCTCTCTCTCTCTCTCTCAATAATTACTCTAAAAAAACACCACACACTCCCCATCTTCCAAGTCGGATTCTCTCACCCAATTCAAGCTTTCTTCCAAGATGAAGTTTGGGTTTCCCCCAAATCATTCAATAAAAACCTACACTGGCCTTAAAATCACTGGTTTATCGGTGGTGACCTACAACTCAATGAAGATGGGGACGTCTTATAAGCCAATAGTAGACCTTAAAAAAGGGCGTAACCCCGTGCTGGTCCCGCTTAAGCAGGGTCCCGAGAGAGGTGGGTTGGAAACGGTCCTAACCTTTAGCTTATTCACAAAGTGACTGCTCTAAGGACTCGAACCCGCGCTCTGCGCTGGCTCAGGTAGCCTTTTAACGTCACACCAAGTGACGGCCCCTTTCAATAAGTAGACCTTGGACCTAATAGGTCCATAAAGGCTTTACCGACCTATTAGGGCTGTGAATGTTATTTGGGGATTAAGAAAAAGAGTGCAAAATAGGTATGGGCATAAATTTGAATTAAAAAAAAGCAAGTTTCAAATGTTTGAAAATTTAAGGGACATTATCGGTAATTTCCCAAAAATTAAATATATGAATTTAAATTGAAAAATAAAATTTACCCAAAATTTTGAGGCTGATCTCCCAATCCTTATGCTCAATGCAAATTGATGCCTCCAATCCTTATGAAATCTTCCTTATAAACACCAACTAATTTTGGGTTCCGAGTACAGATCTAGGACATCCTATCTCTTTACATTGGATGAATAGTAAATACGAATTTTAAATCTATCAAAATCTAATATTCTTGTTTATTTGGAAATAAAAAAAAAAAAAAACTAGTGTCGGATCAATAACCTAAAAATAGGCTAGGATACAAAGCTCGTCTAGGATCGACCCAAATTTGTGGAGATATCACAAATTTTTTGAAATCAGGCAAAGCCTTGCCCAAACTTTTGATATTAAAAACCTCTGAAATCCAATTTTTTCTCAAAATGCTTAGATCAAGTAAAATCCTAAGGCTCAAATTTGGGAGAAAATGGGTGACACTAGGGTTCAAATTTCTAAATAATGAGTTACAAATTAAAAGGACAGTGAATAGTTTACTGACAACATTAGCAATAAACACTGACCACCTTTCTTCCCAAAGGTATTTTCACATCCGTCACATCTGCAGCCATCAGAGCATCCAACTTTAGCCTGGCAATCAAAACAAGCGGACAGACTCGTACAATCAGAAGTCCAAAGCAACCTTAGTGTATCCTTTCTATTTCATGAAGGAAATGGTTAATTATCAAAACATTACCTGAGATATACTTGCATAAAAGAGAGAACATACAAAGTATAAAACAGTAGAATTTGACCTGATAGCACTCACAGTACTTCTTTGTACAAGATGACTTTTTGCAATTACATCCTCTTTTATGCCTTGCAGAGGCTGACGTATCATTGGTTTCCTGCAGAGTCTTACAAAACTTTCTAAGTTATTTCTCACTATGACAAACATAGTCATATGGGAAAGTATGTGATATTCAAATAGACTACAGAAAATCATAGTCCTAAGGGTACATCAATATCTGATGAAAATATGAACAGTGATAGAGCATGGAACCCACCATCAGGTTAATGTCCTGTTCTGATCGGTTCCCACTCTCTCTGTGTCACAAATTCAGCAGACAATGTTTTTCCATAGCACATTGGGTTATAGCATATGTTGCCTTCTTATATAGAGCCACTCCTTACCCCTGTGCTCTGTGGACGTGCTGTGGATCTCATGACGATTTTAGGATCAAAGGCCATTGGATTGCGTATTACTATGCTCTTCCTTTTCTCACAACATTTTTCTTCATATTCAGGTCTGTTAAAGCACTCTAGGCATGAGCAAGTCTCTCCACAAAATGTTCCACTAGCAAAACATTCACAATAACTGCAATAGTGATACACAAGAATCAAAAAGGTCCAAATTCGTTAGGACTCACACCCAATACCTTACAAATGGGGTTGAGATAAAATTATTTAGGATACAACTCCTAAAGACTCTGCAGCAAAATTTGAATACATCTCCATATAAAGCATGCGAAACTTACAGCTTCAAGCACTCAGACTTCTTACAGTGACAACAACGCTTACAGTCCTTGTTCTCTAAAACATCGGTTGCTCTTCTCCTGCATAGTTAAACTAGGATCAAATTTTACAAAGATTAAATGCAACTAATGAGTACTTTAAATCTAAGTGGAGCAGAATGTGTACTCGCCTCTTCATTTGAGGACTAATATGGAGCTCCATCCCAAGCCCAGAGGCACCTTGCGGCACTGAAATCATAATCTCATGTGGGTTTGAGGAATGTTTAAGATATTGCAAATAACTGTAAAGGGGTTTCACATCAAGAGGCAAACTTTGCAAACTTGCGTTGTCAGCCACCACTCTCCCAGCTCTAAACCCATGCTCAGCCATTTTGGAGTTCCCAGTGACAGATGAAACCACATTTGAAGGGAAATCAACATTTGGGCCCTCTGAATGAAACAGAACTGAGCCACTAGAAGCACAATACTCATGGGGAGTAAATTGCATGGTAGCATTCACTGGGTTCCCAATATTATTTAGGTGCAAGCCAATACCAGATGGCATAGAAGGATTCCCACTATTTCCAGCTTTACCCATATTGTCCAAGTTGAGTTCTTGTGTTCTGTTCATGGAAAATGATGGATTGGGAGAAGCAAGCATGGAGACCTGTTTCTTGCTAACGGGGATATAGTTTCTACCATCATGAGAGAGAGAACCAGAATCTATATCAACAGGAGTGGGAGAAGGACTTGTAAGAGAAGCATTTTTTGGAGGGTTCCAAGGATTACAACTAGCTCCGAGGCTCTTTCCACGAGCCTCAGGATTTTCCAACTGTAAACGTCTCCTCATGCCACGCTGGTGCTGACTGTCATCCTAGAAAAAGCACAGAAATAATTACATGCAATGAAAATGTTATTTAAATAATGATAGAAACTTGTGCGAAAATGAAACCTGCAAACCTGGTTCAAAAAGTTAACCTTGGACTTCAACTCGATACGGCCAGAACAAGGCTGAGCAACATGGAACTTTCTTTATATTTTCAGAAAAATTCCAAAGATTAGAGAAATGTAATTACAAGTTAACCTTGGACTTCAACTCGATATGGCCAGAACCAGTCTTGATTACAATTTCAGCAATCATCATTCATTTATTTTCTCCATACTCTGCAACCACATTTGATTGGTTTTGCATATTTAAGTGATTGGGGTGTGTACTCTAAAAGGTTTGAGTAAAATTGATATTTTCATATATTCACTAGGCTAGGAATAAACATGTAGGGAAATATAGGCAACAAGGTTCTGTATACGAATCCACTAACTAAAGCAGTTTAGCCAATCATGTGAGTTGAAATGAGGAGGTTATGTTATTGCTAATGAGCTGAAGTTTATAGAGCATTGTAGATCATCATCATCAGAGACTTATCCCAACTACTTGAGGTCGTCATTCTGCTCTATCAAGGCCCATAACCTCAATGAAACCATGTCCCATATCTTTTCACACTACTTCCATCCATGTCCTTTTGGGCCTTCCCTTTGCCATTTTGGAGCCTTCCACTAGAACTTATGAAGCATGTAGATGAAATTGAAAAATCTTAGTTTGCCATATTGATGTGTTTAAGATGAGGAGGAAAAGAAAATGCATGTAACCAGAATTAGGAGGATTGAAGCAATGAAAGATGTTTATGATTGATCACCAGAAGGTGTAAAAACTTTGAAATATCCCATCAACATATTGAGTTTGACGGCACTAGGAAAATATTCTTGCTCAATAGGATATTTGGATTATATTGAGGCTTGCAAAAGCATGATTGTCTTGTGGTGAAAGAAGTTGATACAAGAAACATGCTCACACGACCATCGTAAAGAGGTTTCATATTTAATGATTGAAACGAATTGTGAAACAAGATGAACAAGGCAAGCATAAAAGTTGTTGATAAGAACGAAGAAATTTATTAGGTTGAAATTAACAGGAGACAAGAAGAAATTTCATTTTGGTGTGAACAGTGTCTTCATGGTTCCTTCTCAAGATGAAGCACAATATTATCAGGACTGGACCGGAGGGCAAATCAGTTAGGGAGACAACCCAGAAGAAAATAATTTAAAAAAAAGTAAAAGAAATTCAGGAACACTCTGATTTGACAAGCAATGGGAAAAGGAAATTATTTTAATAACTACTTTCATATCTTGCAGCCCATCATACAATACAACACTGGCACCATGGCACGTTAGGAATATTAAGTATTTGTGCATTCCCATTTCTTATGGTATAACATTTCTTGAAATAAAAATTGCACATTTCAAAAGGGTCAGTAATCTCAAAAGAAGCATGCAATGGATCTGCTTCACCAGTTTGAAATGACAAACTAATTGCAAGCTTATATTCAAATTAACTGCTCAGAGTCGGAAGCTTCAGTGGTATAGCATATGCTTACTATCTAATCGTAATCTCCATTAATACCTGCCTGGTGGATTGTATCCCTTGACCTTTACATGTACAGATTTGAAGTTTTCTGCTAATAAGGTGTATTTATATATGCATTAACACACCAGATGTATTGTTCAAGAGAACAAAACACATAGTTCAGTTCTTAAATGTATAATATCTCATAACCTTCCAATTCTAGCATGGGTCCTCTAGTCTATGCATACATAGCAGTTGACTGGACTGGTTCACTGGATGATTCTTGCAATGTTACTGGATTCTACGTTTATTTGTGCAACTTGAGTTATTTTCAAGCTAAAGTTAAACAAGAGTGCAGCCCATGTCCATCACTAGATCAGTTATCTACTACACAATTTATGAGCCTCTGTTAATACACCGTTTATATTATTTTACACAAAAAAGGTGCAATACCCTTCACTATTAATTGGTTTTGTTTATAATTGTACCATGCACATTAAAGTAAATCAATATTATTCAGGAAAGGTGTTGGTCAAGAACATAATAACATATTATCTTACTAGTGGCTTAAATTCATCAATATCTTCCACCAAATCTATCCCACTAGATAGGGACACCGGCTAATTTCTTCTGAACTCTTGAAGCACAGATGTGCACCCCATCTTGAGGGGAGTTATCAGAGATTTATCATCTTTATTCAAATATTGCAGTCATGTGCATATGCAGCCATTAAATAACTCATAGTTTTCACACTCATATTTCATCCCACTATGACATCACTAAATGTATAAGCCACCTTCATAGAAACTTTATAAAGTAAACATGCCCAATTTCCAACCAAGATGAGGAATCTTACTCGCAGGAGGATATATTTGATATATCAGCACTCACAGAAAAGAAAGGAGAGAAATCCCACGAAAAAAGGTCAACCTTACTTGTTCCTCATAATTGTCGATGTTTGGACACGCAAGATGTGCTCCATGAGTCCACCAGTAGGATGAGAAATAGCCTCCAAAAAATTAAAACCTAAACCAGTAAGGTTTGGATTCCGCTCAGGGAGACAACTTGGATAGGAAGATTTACAGATAGATTCCATTTTTGTTAGACTTCCTATAGATAGGATCAAAAAGGTATTTGTCCATAAAAAGTACTTTCATTGGCCTTTCTTCCAGCAAGGGAAGCCCTACCAAGCGCAGTTGTTTGGGAACTGGTTCCCATACAAGGCATTCAGGGTTTTACGCCTAAAGTGGGCCAGACAAGGCATCCATGACATGCCTAAACACTCATCTGTCCAACTTGTAAGTGCCTCTGTTTCACAAGCTTTTAATTGCACTTTGTGGCCCTGGTACCTCCACACCATAGTCATACAACTATTAACCAACAACCAGGTCTGTTCCAACTGAAATAACTAAAAAAAATGACAACGATTTCAGACTTAATTTAGAATTTTAGATAGTATCATAGGAATATGAAACCCATAAAATGAGCAATACGATACTTGGTAATTCTCCTACACCCATGCCTGCAAGCATATGTTATAAAACTCTTCACTACTAATCCTGATTCATGTACTTCTATTTTTTCATGGGTATCTAGTACCCTGATTATTCATGAATTTTGGTTCATTCTTCAGTTTTAGTAGTTAACTTGTCACTAAACCTTAATTCAAACACCATACTTTTCACATGAAAAGCCAAGAACATCCATACCTAATGAGGAAATATATCTAGCATATCATAATTGTCAACAATCCTCAAAGCAACCATAATTATTCAGCATACAAGAAGCCCGAAACACGTTAATCATGGGAAGAGAACCACTTGAGACAAAATAAAGCCGTGACCATCCCACTAATAGATGTAACACCATCTCCACGTAAAATCGATATCAAAACCATGCAGCAACAATTGCTTGTGGAAGAAACATCCCATCCAAGACTCAAATCCAATAAGGGAAGTAATCAGTGATTCACCAAAATGCAAGAATCTAATAAGGGAAGCAATCAATGAATCACCAAAATACAATGTACCTTGTGCATAACGGGAATACATTCACGACCCAGTTCATCATTTTGTATTACTCTCCATTTACTACCTGGATATGCAGCAGCATGGATATACATATCGTAATTCGATTTAGGCAGCAACTGAGGAGTACAATGCCAATCATGGTGTTGCTGACCTTCAACACAGTGTAACTTGAGAAACTTGAGAAAATGTTCAGATTGAGAGCAATCCCAAGCAGAATTGCCATGTTCACCATTATTTGACAGAAGTGAATTCAGGGTAGAATTTGCACAATCCATCAAATGATAATTGTGCCAAGTATCTGCCTCTAATTCATGAGAAGAAGTAACCAATTGTTTCATGGTCTCCTCAGAAACCATACCAGAGCACTTGCCATCATGCTCGGCATCATTTTTTTGACCATATGTACTAGATGTGATTTCTTCCTTTTTTCCATTCTTATCCAAGACCGGTGATCTCTTAATTTCTTCACCCATGTGGACTTTTTGATCAGGAACACATGCAAGACTAAAAGAGGTAGAGGCAGCAGGCACGCCCTGAAGAACTTTGGCAATCTCACATATTGTGCTGGCCACCACTAGGTGAGTTCTATTATCATCAATAGTTAATGCTTGGGTAGATTCAATAATGTGAGTCTCTTCCTCTACATATTCAGCCAAGTATTCCTCTATATTGTGATCAATTTTGTTCATATCCTAGCATTGGCCAACTGGAGAAACTACTGAAATCTGAAATGGGTTTCTTTTGTTTCTCTTCAGGGTTAATCAGGTCCTTCTGCTCACCACATGGACACCTGTATGGGACCAATAAGCAAACATATTAGTTCTCCTGCACTTGGCCTATTGGTAGAGAGGGCATATCTCCATTACCAAACAGCAGACTCATTATAAACATTAATGAGGAAGTATACTATAGTCCAATGGACTGTGGAAAACCATAAACTGTTCATTGATAAGAACCCATCATTGGGATCATGCCTGTTCTCAGTCTCGTCATTGTTTCATATCTGATGGCGATGAAACTCAATGGACTACGGTTTTCTATAATGAATTGGACTATAATATACTTTCCCAAGATTAATTACCATTTCAAGCAAGGTTTTTCTCTTTGAGAACTTTCTCGTGGGGATGTAAACACAGGTGGGGGATGAGGAAAACTGAAATCAGAAAATGATCGCGTGCTAGAGTTAAGTGGCTTGATTGGCTATTGATTGATGATGCAACGGAAGGGAGAATCCTGGAACATTATTTTATCTTCACTTTTACTAAGCTCTCTCAGATCACTCACTGTGAGTGAAATGAAATACAGAAATGACATCAAAAGATCCAAGTCAGAAGAATAATGCAATCAAAATACCCATATCAGAAGAATCCAAAAGACTCGCATCAGAAAGCATTGCCAGTGGGTTTAAAGAGTCCGTCAAAAGAAAGAATCCCCTTTCAGAAACAAGTTTTTCTATAAGCACTTTTCAACACTATTTTATGTTCTTCAAAAGATCGGATTCAGAATGAAGGGTTAAAAGAGATTGTCCTTTGCAGAAACCAGTTCTCTGTAACTATTCTTGACAGTACTTCGTCTTATCTTTTACTCTGCATGATATGCAACAAAAATGAAAGAGAGGTCAGGAAATGATAACCCATTTATCTTTTTTTGAGTAAGTACCACCGTCTCTGTAATCTAAATCCCAAACATACGGCAAATAAATCTTCTACCTGGTACAATCAAATAATGATCTGAAAAGAAAACACAACATAAAAATGGGCAAAGGTTTTACATAACCCAACAAAATGATCTGGAAAGAAAGGCAATAAAAATGGGAAATGGTTTTACATGGTGAGGAATCCCGCAAATAACCCAACAAAATGATCTGAAAACAAAAGACAATAAAAATGGGCAAAGGTTTTACAAATATACATTTTCCTCTCTCTAAGAAGCTTCTGCTTTCTCTCTCTAAGAAGCTCCTGCTGACACTGTCTTAAACGCCATAAGCGTGAACTTAATCAACACTTCTTGCTTTTTGAACTTAATCAACACTTCATGTTTTTTTGTAGAGAGAGGGCATTTCTGTGCTTATAAAGAGAGGTTTTAGAGAGAGAGAGGTTTTTTAGAGAGAGAGGGCATTTATTTGATTCTAGAGAGAGAGAGAAATTGAGATGGATACAGAAGTGCACATTTATATGTTTGACTGCTCCGTCCTTGGCGGGAAACCACGCTCTCCATATTAGGTGAATGATATGAGTGAAAATATTGAATCTCAGAGGGACAAATACATAAATTTTAGGAGGTCGATAACGAGGGGTGGTTTGCCTGGCTAATCTCTCCAGTACCCAAACTCATCTCCCGCCACGTAAATTGTGGGGTAAATTAAATGTGCGGTTTGTATGGAGCCGAGGCTCTAAACAATCAGAGTAGAAGAGCCCATCTTGGAATGGTGTTGAAAAATGTCAATATCGAAAATCTTTGCGATAATTTTAAAAAAAAAATTTATATCTAATTATAAAGTTTAAAGCTTAAAAAATAATGTAGATAGAGTATATCTATGAAAATCTTGAGATCAAAAAATGCATTACACTTGAAATCCATTTTTTTCTAACGCTCATGTATCGTGAAGTCGAGATGATTAATTTGAGGATATTTGGACATCAAAACGACTTCTTTTAATAAATTTTTTTAAAGTAAGTTCTAATTTGATTGTTTAGAGCCTCAACTCTATATAAACTTTTTCCTAAATAATGTTTTAGAGTGAGAAAAAAATACAATTTTTTGGGCCAAATCTCTATGAAAATCATTTTCTCTCTCTAAGGAGATCTTTCTTTAACGTAATTCCTTCATGAGTTATCCTCAAGAGGTTTTGATCAGCATTCCTCCTCTGTGAATGAGTTATCTGAAAAAGATCCACTGACGCAGTTAACCATTTTGATAACACGTCAAAGTCCAATACTCGCATTAAATATAAAACTTTAAAATAGGGAAATTTATCTAAAGAAAAAGTTTATATAAGGATGCAACTCTATAATGTAGAACTACGGATGCACCTAAAAAATCCATAAAAAAATGTAGTTTTAATATTGAAAAATCCTTTGATTGATCATCTACACATGGAGATGTATGACCATGAAAAATAAACAAAATTTAAGTCTTAGAAATAGTGCAGTTTATAACATATTATCTCAATCGTCCATTTTCAATATTTTCATATGTTTATAGATCTATTTGATTTTAATCAATTTTTAAATTTAAAATTTTATAATTAGATATAAAAATAGATTTTGAGATAATTATAATAACATTTTGCATCAAAATTATATACCATGATAAAATTTGAAGGTGCACTTTACCTCTACAGCTACGGATGCATCTGTATGCCAACTTCACCCTTTTTCGAACGGAAACTTGTTTCATGTTGGCTGGACCACATTTCTTCGTGGTAAAGCATTCATCTTAAGGATAGATATGTAAAACATCCATCTTAAAGATAGGTGCAAGGTGTTCCATCTAAAAACAATGGAAACTATTCATCCATATATTTTCATACTAGAATTATTATTTCTAGTTTTTAAAATTTATATATTTTTTCATAT